GGGGGGGGGAGGCGGGAGCCAGGTTCTTAAGGGGCCGGCGTCCTCTCTCTGCTCTGGACTAACTGAAGACCATTCCTAGGATCCTTCTGTGACCTGCCACCGTGTGGATCCGGAGACGCTGCCCACTGTGGCTGAGGTACAGGGGCACGAGCTCAGAGGTTGGGGCCGGGGCCGGCAGAGTGTAGGTGGGAAGACGGGCCTCTCTGACCGCTGCTCTCTCTATTCCTGGCAGCCTTGTTTGCCCGAAGCCAAGTTCCGCTGCCCACTTACGTTCAAGCAGGAGATCCTCGTCCAAGTGATCGGGACAATGGAGCTGGTGGAGGAGATCAAGGTAACACCCGCTGGCCGCAGACGCCATGGTCCAGGGGGTGTGGGGGGACCTCGACGGCTCGAGGGTGGGCTTCCTCACCACCTGGTCTTCCTGCCTTTTTCTTTACTACCTTGATGAAAAGCCCTGATATTTACATAGTGGCGGATGAAAGAGAACCATGATTTGTTTGAAACTCGCCGGGCTGTGTTCACAGGCCTGCGGATGGTTCTTCTGGGTTCTCCGTAGGAAAACTTTCCTTCCAGCCGCGGGGAGCGGTCCGTGAGGACAATACGGTAGAGAGCACGGTGGCCGTGGTGCACCCCACTGGGTCCCGTGCTCCTCAGCTTCTCCACGCTGAGTCGAGGTGGGGTGCGGACGTCGGTGGGTCCCGGCCCTTGTTCTCCCTGGCCTGACCCCTCCCCCACCCTCCCACAGGCCTCCTCCATGCTCAGCCTCTGTAGCTCTCTCTCCATCTCCTTCAACAGCAGCAAGCACTTCCACCTGTATGACGACAGTGCCTCCCTGGCCCAGGTATGTCTCTGCCTCCTCAGAAGCCCCGGCAGCAGAGGTCAGCAGGGGCATCTGAGGAGCCCCAGGGTCGAGCTAGAAGAGCTAGAGCCAGAAGGGGGACAGCCACATGGGAGGTCCGGGCTCGGCACAGGGAAGAGCTTCCCGGCCATCAGAGCCGTCAGCCTTGGCGAGGGCCTTGGTGGATGCCCGGGGCTCCCCACCACCACTGGTGGCCAAGCAGCCCCCGAGGTCACCTGTCTGAGATGTGTCGGGCGGAGGTCAACTTGCGGGCAGCTCAGCCAGGGTACCCACCCCATACCCACTCTGCGCATGATGGGAAAGCTCTCCGAGCAGCGTGGGTGGTGAGCGCGGGGCCCAGGCCACCCAGTTGAGCCGGTGGGCGAGACAGGTTGAAGAGCAGGAAGCTCAGAGCAGCAGAAGGGACGCTGCGCCTAACAAGGTGAGCGTAAGCCGGATTCTGGAGGCTTTGCACGCTGAGCTGAGATTCTGGCATTTTATCCTGGGACGAAGGGAAGCCGTTTAAGGACTGAAGGTGGGTCATGTGCAAGTTCGCCAGTTCACTCCGGTGGCCGCACAGGGGTGCACGCTGGAGGGAAGTGTCTGGGCCAGAGCCTGGTAGTGTCAGGAAGCAACGCTGACCAGAAGTTGCTAAGGCCTAGCCCTTCACAAGAATATTAAAGGTGGAAAAGCCTTCTTCCTACGGTCCCCTTTCCCCCCCTCCTCCAGGTCATCATGAAGGTGGACATCGTATATGAGAAGGACATGCTGTACATCTACGTGCTGAGCAGCACTGGGGGACTATTGTTGTTCCTGGTGATTCTCGGGGTACTCTACAAGGTGGGAGCTTCTGGGAGTAATGGGCATGGCTGAGACAGCCAGGCTAGGGAAAGGGCAGAAAATACCAAGATCAGGGAGCGTTAAAGCTAAAAGCGTCCTCAGCCTACTCCCTCCTTCTATAGTTAGGACTCCTGAGTCCCAAAGAGCAAGTGAGACTTTCCCCCAGCCTCCACTAAGCACTGGCAGAGCCAGGACTGGGTACCTAGGGAAGGAGGGTTTTCCCACGTATCACGGGCCAAGCAGTGGGACACAGGGGCACGTACCACAGACATTGCCTTCAGGGAGCTCACAGTCTAATGGGGGAGGCAGACAGGAACACACCTGCTAAGGGCCCCACTCAGGGGCCTGGGTGCTGGAGCCTCACTTAGGCTGGGGGAGTCCGGGAAGCCCTCCCAGGAGAGGAGGCATTTGAGTTGGGATTTGAAGAAGGAGCAGGCAGGTGAATAGTGCCGGAGGGCAGCTGTTCCACATGAAAACCTCAAATACTCCAGAAAACGACACAGAAAATCAATTTCTCCCTGTTGCACCCCGCAGAGGGCTGTCATTAGCAACCATTTTGTTTCTATTCTTCCAGGGTCTAATTTTGTTGTTTAAACATACGTATATGTATGAGCATGAAAGAGAAAAAGAGAGAAGTCAGTGTCTATGTGTATGTGTAGAAAACACAAATGGAATAATACCACATATACTGCTTGGGAGCTTATATTTCCCACTGGATATTATATCCTGATGTCTCTGTGTGTGTTGCACAATCAGATCTGCCTCTTGCTTTTTCACTTGGCTGGTTTGCTGCTGTCTGGATGCCCCACCTTTTTTTTTTTTAATTTTTTAATGTTTATTATTATTATTTTTTAAATTTTTTAAACTTTTATTTATTTTTGAGAGTGAGAGAGACAGAGCATGAGCGGGGGAGGGGCAGAGAGAGAGAGAGACACACACATACACACAGAATCCGAAGCAGGCTCCAGACTCCGAGCTGTCAGCACGGAGCCCGACGCGGGGCTCGAACTCACAAGCTGTGAGATCATGACCTGAGCCGAAGTCAGCCGCTTAACCGACTGAGCCACCTGGGTGCCCCAAATGTCTGACTCTTGATTTCGGCTCAGGTCATGATCTCATGGTTCATATGATGGAGCCCAGCGTCGGGCTTTGCACTGATGGCACAGAGCCTGCTTGGGATTCTCTCTCTCTCCCCTCTCTCTGCTCCTCCCCCACCCCACTCATGCTTTCTCTCTCTCTCTGTCTCAAAATAAACAAACATTAAAAAAAAAAATTAATTCCTGGAGCTGGAATGGCTGAGCCAAAGAACATATATGTTTTGACCTTTCAACAGAGAGCAGGCTCTCGCTAATAGTATCACTGGATATGGTCAAATCGCCCACCTAAAATATTGCTCCATGACATTTTGATGAGCCTAAAGAACGCACTATTAAACGTACAGCTTTTTAACATATTGCCAGGAGCTGGGTGTGGCAGAGACCCTCGTCCTGTCCCTGGGGCAGATACCACGCGTCCGTGGCATGTGTGACTCATTAACATTAAGGGTGCTTTCATGTTTTGCCGAGGCTGACTCATCCAGAGTGTTCCATGGACCGTGGCTCACTCAATTTTTGTCTTCCTACAGCTCGGCTTCTTCAAACGGAACCTGAAGGAGAAGATGGAGGCTACCGTAGAAGCTTCGAATGGAATCCCTAGAGAAGACTCTGGACAACCAGAGCCCAAGGAAGAGGGTGGGGATCCGGGCTGCCTGGAGCCCCTCCAGGAGGAGGAGACCCAGGATGGAAATGACAAAGACTGAGGTCCAGGCCTGATGCAGAGGGCCCAGGACTGGACCCGGGAGGCCTGGTACCACTCTGCCTCTACCTGTGTTTCACTGCGTGTCTTCAGGCAAATCACTGCTCCCACCTAGGCCCCAGTTTCGCTGTCTTGCACGTGGAGCTCACTCCTGCCGGCCTGCTTTGCAGGTTCATGGTGAGGGATGGGCCAGGAAGGCTAGGCGAGGCCTTGTAATTCTCGGCTGGTCCTGGCTTCCCCCAGCCCTTCTTAGTATCCTCCCCTGGAAGAGACTGTCTGATCTAAATTTGGAAAAACTGTCATCTCAGGACCTAGTGACTCTCCCGGCCCTCACACCCACCTGCCCTTGGACGTCCCCAGAGGCCTCAGACTCCCAGAACCTCGTCCTTCACTCTCCCCTGCCTGGAGTCCAGTCAGCTTTCCAGTCTGCCGCCAGAGAGCAAATCCGATCTGTGTCACTACATGGCCGCTGCAAACCCCCTGCTCTTTGGCTACAGACCAAGTTCCTTAATACGCCTTCCACGATCTGCAAAATAGCCTTAACATGCCCGTGCAGAATTGGGCCCCTGTTGCCTTCCTGGCCTCCTCCAGAGACTCCCCGCCTCCCTTTCTAAGCTCCGATTACACCAGCCTTTCTCGCTAGCCAGGCTCCTTCCTGTCTCACCGCCTTCACCCAGACTGCTCCCTCTGCCTGGAACATTCCTCCGCAGCCCTTTTCCTGGCTGACTCTCTCAGCCTTCAGATCTCAGCTCGCGTACAACTGCCTCAGGGCCGCCCCCAACCCCTACCCAGGTGGGTTCCCGTGTTACATTTGCCCCTCACAGTACAGATCACACTGTTACTTAATATTTGTCTCTCAAATTAAACATCGAACTCCGAGAGGGTAGGGACCATACCTGTCATGTTCACCTTGGGATCCCTTGGTGACATCACAGAGCCAGACCCAGTAGGCGCTTGCACAATTTCACTGAACCTAGCACCTGTGAAAAGATCGAGAAAGCGTTTCGGATGGGCCCCTGGCGTCTCCACCCTTCAAGGTCTTCCCCAGGCTCCTGCCTCCTTGCTCCCAGCCCCCACCAGGACTCCATCCCACCCCGCTGCGGCCCCCACTGGGAGGCTGTGAGCTCAAGGGAGCAGGCCACGTCTGTCCACCTGGCTCACGGTGCCTGCATATGTGTACCCAATAAATGTGAAAATCTGTCCAATTGTGTGATGTTTTCATGCCGCTGCACATTCTGGCCCTGACAATTCATTTAGATGTGAGAATAGGCCCTCCCTGGTTTTGTTTTGTTTTGTTTTAAGCAACAATTGGTAGAGCCTGACCCCGAGGCCCACAGCATTTGGAGGGATGGGGGCTCATCACTGCTGCCCTCTTGTGGTCAGTAGGATGGGGGCGTGGGGGTGGGGTGGGGCGGAATACGGAGTAATTCTGAAGCCAGCTCTGGGTCCAACAATGGGAGCTGAGAAGGAACATTTGGCCTTCCAAGCAGTGACCTTTGATGGCTCCCTTCTGCCTGCAGGAGAGTAAGCGAATATTCTTGAGCCCACAAAGCCCAGAGCAGTCTTTCAAAGCCTGCCTGCCTCTTCGGCTTCGTCAGCACCCTTCTGGTCCCGCCCCATGGTTCCTCATAGGGAAGACCTGAGAAAGGAAGAAGTGAGGCCCGTGTCCCAGGGAAGGCAAAACTGCTAAAAAGACATGAGATTATCTCTAGGTCTCAAGAAGCCTACCGGCTTCTACTGATTCTTGAGAGCTTTGTGTCAGGCTCTGTTCTGTGCCCTGAGGGCCTGGTGATGAAAACCAGGGAGAAGTCCCTGCCCTCAGGAAGCGTCACCCCACTGGGAAAACAGTTATAAGGTAGAAATGTGGGGCGCCTGGGTGGCTCAGTCGGTTGGGCGTCCGACCTCAGGTCATGATCTCACAGTTTGTGGGTTCAAGCCCCGCGTCGGGCTCTCAGCTGACAGCTCGGAGCCTGGGGCCTGCTTCGGATTCTGTGTCTCCCTCTCTCTCTCTCTTCCCCTCCCCCACTCGTGCTCTGTCTCTATCAAAAAATGAATAAATGTTTAAAAAATTAAAAATAAAATAAAATGTTTTTAAAAAGTAAAAAATAGGGGC